TTAATAATACTATTATTATTCCTTACTAATTGTTACATTTCTAAATGACTTCAGGATTTTACTGTAAAAGACATGAATAGTGAATTATCACAGGTTGAAATGTAAATTAACAGGAGTATATCAGAGTATTTTCTAATTCAAAATTCCTAAACTACACAGTAAATCCTTATTTTTCTTTCATCTTTTCCTCTCTAGAGTTTTATAAAGCCTCTTCAGAAATAGTTTCGTGATTATGTTTATGCTGTCTGTTGAAGAAACTGTCCAGTCATTAACAGCTGGCTTTGTTGAGGTAACACTGACAACATGACATTTGACACTAGAGAATAACTGTAAGTTTGAACCTCAGTGTGAAAGAAATGTAGTTGCAGATACAGGAAGTATGAATAGGACAGACAAATGATTAATAATTAAGTAGGATAATAAAATTATCCTAAGTGACCTAGACCATTTAGCAGACAGTAAAATTCATGGTATTTATCACAGAGATATCACTCTCAATGAAGTTAGCTGATCATTTTTGATTAACCTGACATAGTATCAATGCTACAATAACGTACAGACAGTTCTTAGGATTTATATTAAAAAGTTTTGCCAGATAAAATATATAGGTGCTACACTACTAATCTGCAAATAATTCCTAAAATTGAAATTTAAAAGCTATGCCAGTGCTATGCCTGCTATAGTGTTCTGTCTTCTGTAATAAGCAAGGAAATTCATAGTTTAATTTAATAGTGTAGCATGCCCCGAGGAGAGAAAAAGAATTTTCAATAAAGAGAAAACATCTGCAAAGACACTTATTTATAGAGGCATGTGATAAACAGACTCATGCGCTCATTAAGTTAAAAAAATCTGAACATTCTTTCCTGATGAATTAACAAAGCTGCCATGTATCATAACTTAATAAACCTGTATTTCAAGATTTCTTATTTATGTATTTGCTTGGCCTTGCTTTCCTTTTATGTATCAGCCTTCTCAGTGCTGTAACACAATTCACTATTCTGGTCTGAAAAGCAGTCAGACATGTTCTGAATTTCTACCACGAGTAAACTAAGCTTTGTTAACAAGTAGACTTTCTTATATACAGCACTTTTAAATCAAAGATTACAAAGGTTATTGTGAGGATAATCCAGGTTGTCAGAACATGGAGGATCAACAAATTGATTATATTTTATTTTATTTTATTTACTGTTTTATTTTTATTTTGTGAGTATCATGGCTGAGATCCAATTCTCTTACTTTGAAAGCTATTCTGAGTCAACAACACAGTAGAAATTTTGGAGAAGCTACAACAAACTAAAAATATGAATTCTTATTACTGCATTTCATACCTTATGGAAAGGTTCTGTTTCAATTTTTTTTTTTCACCAGAAGTTATTTCAGAAAATGACTTGCAAAACCAGTGTAACTAACGTAATATGTTTTTTCCTCTGGCTTTTTTGGACATTGAATATGCTGTCACAAAGCAACTGGCTAAGCAGCAACAATCAAGGTCAGACATGTTTGCAGATGTAACATTTAGAGTTATAGGCAGAAAAAAAAATAGAAGTATTCAATAAAAATTAAGGTAGGAAATTCTTAGTCAAAAGAATAGGAAAAAATTTCTCACGTGTTTGGACTTCTGCTAAGGGACAGTTTCTCAAGGAACACAATTGCAACTCTCATCCTGGGATGTTTCCAGCTCAAAGGCTGAGTTACAGCAGAGCACAGCCCTGAAAGGCAGAGAGGGGAACTGCAGGGCCCAAGGACCCATTCTGTCTTGCATGACTGTGCAGCACAGAGTTCCTGGATGCGAGCTCCTGCTCATCTCCCAGGTTTAACAAAGAACTGGAATCATGTGTTACAGAACCCCTAGGTCTCCAGACACATTCCTCCTCCAGCCACACCAGATCCTTGGTGAATGCAGATCACTCAGCAGGGAAGCAAGGCAAGCTTGATAGGACAAATATTATCTTCTACAAGACCACCTGACACAGCTGGGGGAAAAAAAGACAAACTTAGGATACACCATTATTTGTTCTGGTCTGAAAGGATGAATAAAGATTTGAACAAATGGATCGCAGCTTATTGTATTTATTTTTAAAAATTGCACAATTTGAAAGAAAAATGTGACTCCCCTATGGCAAAGGAGAGCTAATGAGGTAATTAATGTGGCAAGGAATGACACAGAGAAACAGAGCTGCTACTGGTAATGTTAGAGATTCTTGTGAAAGAGAAACAAAGAAATGATGTGGAAATGATTAAAGATTTTTTTAAAAACTAAACACTTTTAAATAATCATCATGGAATTCAAATGTCATGAAACACAAAAAATTATTACTGTTTCCAATAAAATATCAAGAGAAATAATTTCCTTGGTAATTCCATTCCAGATGAAAGAGTGATATATTAACACTGAAGAATTGTACAATAACTGAGCCCTGAAACCACTCAGTAAATCATTTAACAGAATTTGGCAAATACTATCAGGAAATGCTTAAAAAAAGTCTCTCCCCTTCAAGATCCAAATCACTGCATACGAGTCTGAGGTACTAAAAAATTCTTCATGTTACCTTTATTCATTATAGAGGAGAACTATTACAAATTTGATTTACTTTCAAGTTCCCAAAACTTCTTCTAGATTTTAAATTTACATCTTGTAATCTTCTTGTTTTCTTATTTATTTTTCCCAAAGTTAAACAGTTGATCACATAGCCAGCTTCAGGAGCTGGCATATAAATGCAAGGTGCAGCAGGAAGTGATATAAGTAGTTCATTAGGTAATCTCTGATCCTCTACTATACCAGGGTCAGATATTTCTACTAAAACAACATTTTAGAAACCAGAACTCTTAAGGTGAGACTGAGATTCTTTTTCCAACAACTTCAGTAAGTCTAATGAGTTCTTTGTAGAGATGTCCATTTCAATGTCAATAATCTCATGCAAAGGTGCATTTTTGGTCTCTCCAATCTTTGCACTGCATTATCAGCCAGGCATTGTGCTTTACTTCTTGTCATAACATGTCATGCTGCTGACATACAGCAGTTTGTTCAGTCACAAAGGGTGGGGGGGAACCTCAACTGCATCATAAATTATTTAATAAATATATCTTGAGGTGAAAGGTACATACAAAATGCAAGATAAATACACATCTTAAAGGAAAAATAAAAAGAAGTTTAACTTGTCAACAGCTTGCAATGTGTACTGTTTACAAGTTTAATCCAATCCTAGATGGATCTTCAAAGACTGAGGTCATTGTCACAAGCACAATTCCTGAAAATTCTTTTGCACTACTCCTCAAAGCTGTGTAATGGAAATATTCTTCATGGTAAATCTTACTGTTATTGCTCTGTAATGGCAGCATTCTTCAGTGTTGCCCTTACCAGTGCTAACACCATTTGATATCCTCTAGGTTTAAAAACATTTAGTACTAAACAGTGCTGTATGAGAAATACCGAACAGCACCACAACCAGGAAGGACAACTGTCAAACATGTCACACTGCTGCCCTTATATACTCATCTTACAATGTGAATTCTGATTATATTTCTATTCTGTTGCTGTAAATTAGTTTTCTCTAATCAATATGAAAAGTTGAAGTTTTTTTATTACTTTTCTCTTTCCACAGAGCTTTGCTCAGGCACCCATTGGTCCACCACTGACATTATTCCACTGAAAGCACATTATCGTTGAATAAACATGAGCTGCCAGAAATTGTGGATTTGCACAGAGGCTTTGGGAAATCTGTGAGTAGGCTTTATTGTATGTAAGACAGACTGCACAAAGAAACACCACTCAATGAGCCAAAACTTATGATCTTAAGAGTCTCTACATTTAAGCTAGCAAATGCTTTTTGAGAATTTAGACCTCTAGGTTTTCCTAATATGAAAACCTTTTTGGAGGGATAGTTAGGTATGATAACTATTTCAATTGGGAAAAAGAAGTGTTTGTTTTTTAAAGGTCAGGTAATGATTAATAAGAGTTCTTTCTACAAGTATAGAATACATATTCATATTATTTAAACAGACAGTAAACCAAAAATGTTACTTTCCTATCTGAAACCAGGTTAGATGTTCTGGAAGGTTCCTGTGAAACACTAGAGAATACTACAACATCTTAGTTTGTCTTTTTATTCTCTTCTAGCTCACTGAAATGCTCCTGAATGCAAGTCTCCAATTTGCCATGATGCTTTTCTTTCATATACATTTTCAGCTTGTACCTCTCTCTGTAACTGAGTCAGCTGGTTGTAAGTACATTAGTAAGTAATGTGACAGCAAAGGACTCAGTTGCATTTTATAAGCCCCTGGAAAGCTGTGGAGTTTTCATGACCTAACACTCATCACAAATCCACACTTCTTTTGGCATTACTTTTCTAACCAGAACTTGTTGGACAGGATTCCAACTGGCAGAGTGAATTCACATTGCAAACATCACCCTGAAATTTGTGCTGGTAGTTTGCATGTAATGTGTGCTGGAATAGACAGTATTTGTGTGGTGAAAACAGTTTACTCATTTGGCACAAAAAGATGTGATAATGCCATTCATCAGGAAAACATACAGATGGCAGTTGGATTGTTCATATTCTATATTCTCTCTCTCTCAAGTAAAGTTGTCATGTTTGGTTTTTGTGATGATTCATCTGATGCTGCCTGGTGGGCAACTCTAGTGCTAAAAGCCCTGTGGGGACAGAGAACACAGCCTGGCAGGCATTACAGGAGTTCTCTGATGTCCAAATTCACACTTTCAGTAAAAGCCAATACATTTCTAAATGCATTCTTATCTATTCTAACTTCCTTTTCTGAGATGTCTTTGACATCTTTCATCCTGTTGTCATATGGAAACATTTTATGCTTCTGTTGGAACATCAGTTCATAAATCTCTTTCAAAAGAAGCATAATTCTGAAGACATTTCTTGAATTCACTGTATCTACTCTCTTGCTTTGTTTATGTTCAGTATGTGATCAAGAAAATCTGTAAGACTGACTGACAGACTGACAAATTCTATCTAATTAGTACTCACCAGATTTAGCTAGTCATCTTCAACCCTTCAAGCAATGCCAGTGTAAAGTCTTCCTTTTCTCCTTTTAAATACCTGAAGATTTACCTGCATCTGAGAGAATCATTCAATGGTATTATATCTCTCAACAAGATATAAACTGCACAAAAACTAATAATGATATAAAAAAGAGTGTATGTGCAAGCAAAATAAGATTATGGGAAACAGTTTGCATTCTGAATATTATCTTGAGGAAGAGACTTTGAAAGATTATTACACATTAAAAAATCCTACCAAACCATACAAATAAATTACTCATTTAAGACAGGTTGCCTTAAGAAGCAGGTTATTATGACCTGCACTACTAGACTAAATGGGAGTAAAATTTCTTTGAAAAAAATCCACTTTTTTCTTCCAGTTAGTTTCAATTAGGACTTTTTTTCATGAAACAAAAACAGTAACAAAATTATTTTAATACACTGCCATACAACAACTAGATAACACACCTACCAGCCACACCCACCAACACACGCTGTATTTTTTCAATGTCATATACATCAATACATTTGCTATGGTTATGACAGAAATAAAGCTAAAAAATGGCTCGCCCATTACAGTACAGGGGATCTACAAGAAAGGCAGGAATAAAATTCAGTTCTTTGAAGTCCCTGCTTTAACCACACCATCCCCTTTAAGAATTCCCTGTAGTAAAAAAAAAAACTACATGTTTTTATTTTCTTTTTTAAAAGAAGTTCTAACATAGGAGCAAACACTGTTGAGTTTTGAAGTGCTTTCAGATTTATGCTTGCCTAAATGTGAACAGAAGTTACCCTATAAGTTTTAGAAATACTTGGCTAGACACCAACCACTGTACTTACATAAGGCCATATAATCACCTGACACTTGTAGCTGCCTCACTGATTTTCCAAGAATTTTAATCCTCTTTTCCTGAAACTATCCCTTCAGTGAGAAAATATGTTTATTCTATTCCTTATATGCTTGCTTTGCAGACAAACATTTTCATTTATCAAATAGGACAATAATATTTTCCACTTTCAAACATGAGAAATCAAGAGATTTCTTTGTACAGCAAAGTACAAAGTGTGTCTTGTCACATACAAGGGCCCATTCCTCAACTGTGCACCCCCAAGCTGCTTCTACACATTTAAAAACCTTCCTACAGAATAATGCAACTTCCCAGCTCTTCCCTTCTGCCAAGCAGCCAGAGCATGATGATAGCAAGTAACACACACACGGTGGGCACCCAGCAGTTAGTGCACTGTGCAAAGAACAGAACAGAGATAGCTGCTTGATGGCTGGAGGCAGATGTAGCCTGAACTTCCTATTACCAGAGGTTTTGGTTTTGCAGACTTTTTAAATATATAACTAACCTATTCATTTTGCTTTAGTGCATATTTTCTGTTAGATATAAAATGTGATTATTAAAGTTTCTTGTCCCATTAAGCCAATGGAAGTTTCAACTGCAGACTTCAAAGAAAGAAAGATCTGTGTCTTTATTGTTTAAAATGTTTCTGACTAGTGACTATAAAACTGGAGCTATTCATTAACAATGATTTTGGTGTCTGGTTTTTTTGCATATGTAATTTACACTTACATCCTGTGTAATAATTAAAGGTTCTGAAGTGACAACAGAATATATTCAAAGTGTGTGAACCACAAAATGCAGGAAGTCAGAACAATACTTCAGGGAATTACCTTCACTTTAAAAAGGATTATTGCATGCTTTTCTTACAACAGAATAACAGACAGGTTGAAATTTGACTGCTGGGGGTCTTTGGTCCACCTTCTGATCAAAGGAGATTGAACTAGAGCAAGTTCTTCAGGCTTAATCTACTCAGGTTTTTAGTATTTCCAAGGATGAAGACTCCACAAGCTCTCTGGGCAACCTGTTCCAGAGCTTGACCACGACCATGGTTAAAAATATTATTCCTATGTTTTATTTCAGTTTGTGCTCATTGCCTCTTGTTCTGTTAATCCTTGGCAGTGGTGTCACCTTGAATTTGTACATATATTGGTGGGATATTTGGAAATGTCCACCGTTGCAAAACCACCAGCACAACTCCACTTCTGCATACAAAAGGTCACTCAAAACATCATTCACTGTCAACAACTAGTTTGTCAAAGCAAATTTAAATTCCCACCATACTCCTACACAAGCACTTCCTACTATTACTCCTGCAAGCGCTTTTTTCCCTAAAAACATCTCTCATAACACTTCTATACTGTCTGAGGTTCCAGAAACCAGAAAGGGCTTGTCATACAAAAGGGGTAGAGGGTGGGTGATGAAATAAGCTGTGCCTAGAAAGTCAGAGAAAATTCTCAGAGAACAAGTATTACTTCTGTGGCTGCATGATACATAAAGTAGGAGGAAAAGGAGGAGACCATGAAATGGCTAGAAAGAGACGTTCTGTGATTTCCAACACTTTCCTCCCTCAACATCAGCAAAGCAGCAAAAAGAAGGTACCACACTGAGTTGCAGCTCTGGCACAGACAGAACAGAAAGTGACTGCTCCAAGCAGCCACTGGCATCTGCTTCCCTTGTCTACATCTAAAGACAGACCTCTGGAAATTTTTTCTAGCGCAAAATGAACTGGTAGTTTGTGGCTATGCCAGGCATTTACTGCCCTAGCACTCGTGCAGATACACTCATTAAGACAAGAACAAAAGGCACAACACCCTGCGCATGGACTTTATTGCTCCTTGACCTCTTCTGCTCTGACCCAACAGAACTGGAGGCCACCAAAGGATGTGTTAAGGAAACTTTCCTGTCTGACCATTCAGAAGCCACTCCGCCAGTTATTCTCACACTACCCAAGCTGGCACTGAGGTCCCTTTGCAGCCACACATGCCACTCTCACACAGTCACACTAGGTTTTCCTCTTGGCTCATCTCCAGGTTTCCCATAGCAGAGTCTCAGACATCTCGATCCCTCAAATATTTTAATCATGGTGCAACAGCAAAATATCAGCTCAAGCTGGTGTTGCCAAGAAGGGGATCCAAACAAAGAAAAACCTGGGGTTTTATACTCTCACTGGAAGATCCGGAGGTCCTGAGCTCCTGCTGTGTCTCTGAGTGTCCAGTCCCCTGGCTGGCATCACAGGTCCCTGTGCCCTTTGCTGTGCAAAGGTTGGTTCCAGTTCATGGCCTCTTGTTGGGGGGTCTCACCACCAGAGCTCAGTCTGGAGCTGGCTCTGCAGCTGCTCACAGAGCTACCAGCACTGAGTGTACTCCACTGCTCAAGAGCCAGAGTACGTCAGGCCAGGAGTCAGTTGCCCAAAAGCATGTACAAGGGCAGGAACACTTCTCTGAGAGAGCATAAGTGAGTCCACATTCCTGCCCAACACCTGAAACATCCACCATCTCTAATATGATCGAAGCTTTGGTGGCCCCGAACTCAGATGCCTCCCATGGGGATTATGCAGATCAAGAATGGGAACTGTCCTGACTGATGAAATTCAAAATCTAATGACAAACTCAAATAAAGTAAATATAAAGGTACAGTTATTTAGTAAAATTCCTACCTAACTGAAATAGTTATGCATAATAGAATGAAAACAGTTTAAAAAATAATCCGTTGCTCCTTGTTACTAAAAAATTCTTTACTCTTTTTGCTGTGTTCAATAACTGTACTGTTCCACTGAAAACTTCAATGCAAAATGCAGTTCTTAAAGCTTTATGGCCAAACTTTTCATACTAAATAACTACTTGAAAGGTTGACAGAAATCTCTGTTTTTGTTTGTTTTCACATTCCTAAAAGTACATTTGTTTTGCATTCAAATGTATGTTGCTTCTAGGATCTATTATTCATGACAGAAATTATTAAAAATTGTTTACAATGTTAGACCATTAGTTTTGTGCAAATAGAGCTGACTTTAGTTTCTTGCTTGAAAGATTTTTTGACAAATAATGTAGTTGTTAACAGCCGGTTTTCTAGTGGGAAAACTAAACATAATTTCAAACTACAATTTTTTTCTCTATCTCATCTGAAACATTGTTCCCAACTAGTTTATTAAACACTGAATAAATATATCTCCCACTCAGCACATTTACCAAGTCAAGCAGGAATTTAAAATGCCTTTCTTCTAAGGGCCTGCAGGAAAACATCTGCCTGGAGATATGTGAATCTTCTTCTTCATCATGAGAAACATGTTCTGGCCAGAGATTGAGCTTGTAAAGCACAACAGGCACAACAAACCCTTCTAAAATTCCCAGATGGTATCATCCTAAAACAGAAAACAATGAGAGTTGAATTTACATGAAATAAAGCATATTATGTCCATTGTTCCTAAAGAAATAGAATTAATTCCAAATTTTTAATAATCTAAGATGTGTATTTGTTTGTCTGCATCTTGACTGAGTGGGCAAGAATTTAAAAAAAAACCGTTTGTTCTATCTGCAATGAAAGAAAAACAGAAATTCGATGCTGCCCTAGAAAAAGAACTTCTTAATCTCATTCAGCACTAACACTTTCCATGATAACAGTGGAATTTTTAATAATCACAATGATTTTGCTCCACAATTTTTAATTGCCCTTGAGCATCTTCACAGACTTTTTTTGCTAAGGCCTGATCCTAACTCCAGGAGCCAAGCATTGGAACTACAAGATGGTATCTCCACTGCAGGAGAAATAGCAGTGGAGAAGTGCTCTTCTCAAAGCATTGAAAGCAGGAATAGCACAGGCAATGCTAATGGTACTAACACTGGTTGCTCTGGAGAGAAGCTCACACACTTTATAAAAGTTCAGAAGATCCTTTCCTTTTCTATAACCTCTAATATGCAGTGGTGATCCTGACCAGAAGAGCAGTGTAGGCCAAGGAGCAGTGACCCCCAGAGCAGGGAAGCAGAGCAGCTCCCCCAGCCCCGTGCTGCCTGTCCAGCCTGGCCTTCAAGCCTGCGTTGGGCAGTGTGTGCCCTTGGCTGCAGGGCAAACCCAACCAGCAGCTCCCACTTGGTACCAGTGACTCCACCTGCACCACCTTCCCCTGATCTAAAAGTGCAGCAAGCAGTTTTTACTTGAACAACCCTTCTGGTACACAATACAAATTATGAATCAATCAATCAATCAAGCTGTTGACTCGAAGAAAATTTCTGGAATGCAGAAAAGCACACTGCACCACTTTTACACAGAAGTCCAAACAGGAGCAAAAGTAGTAATTTTTTTTTTTAAGATTTAAAGCACTTATTATTCTCTTCATTTAAAACTTCCTTTTTTTTCTGGATAACGCTTAAAGAAGCTTATGGAAATGCAATTTTGAAAAAATATATTTAGTTATTTAATATGTAAATATTTTGTTCATGAGTACACATATATATTTTCGTGTATATTTTTTCTTTTAATAGAATAATAATATGAGAATTGTAGGAATTAGATATGCAGTAGAAGCGATAGTGGAAGAGAAGGTCTAATACAGCATTCTGAAAACTAAAATTTAAAAAAAATCAAGTAACTCAAACTTCTAAGACAATAACGTTGTACAAGTCCTTACTTCAAAACAACAATCAATCTAACTATAGGCATTGTTATTTCTTACATAAATCACCGTAAAATTGTCATTTCCAAGTGAGATTTCTTAATATAGTCATTCCATGGAGAAACTGTTATTTGCAGTAAGAACTGATAAAGGCATTACATCTTTCTATTTGGATCTACAGAAAGGAGGTCATCATTGCAAAATGAAGCTGTACCAAGACTGAAGACTTGTTTCAAATTTACTGATGCATATTATCACTCACATGCTTCTGTCTGGGCCAGGAAAGGAAGGATCCGAGGTTGCTTACAGTTAATACTGTGCTCCCAAAAAGGCTGCGGACACAGGGAAATCTGAGCTATGGTACAATCTGAACACAACCTATATTTTTCTTTAAGTGATGCCAGAAAGTGGAAAGCAGCAACATCCATGACTTGCCAATTTTACACCACTGGCAAAGAGGTGATTTCAAGGAAAAGAGGGACATCTCAGTCCCATTAGTATAAATATACTCAGTCCCATTATGAAAATATATATGTAGGATGTCTTTGTAAAATATACCTTCAGTTTTGCTTCTTCCTTCCCAATAATTACTTATTAAACTTCCCTCTACAAATACCTGGTATTTTTCTTACAATGTATTGTAAGAAATGTATTTTTTACAATGAGAAAGACTTCTGGATAAAAAAAAAATACTATAGGCTGATACCTTCTTTGCTTCTAATTCTTGACAGGCAAGCTCTGCTATGCTGTAATTTATCAGCAGGTAGCTTATTCAGAAACCTTTCGTTCTGATGTATTACTGTTTACTTTACCAGAACAGTTTACTTAGCTACTATGTCTAAGATATGACTCAGCCCTACAATCATTACAACCTGCTTTTAAGCCTGAAATCAATTACTGACCTAACTATTAATTTTGTTAATGGTGTTGCAGAACTAAAAAATTTTGAGAGACTGTTACCCCCAGGAATTAGTCCTGTAAATTAGTCCACCAGTTTTCTGCTAACCATTTTTATTAAGATGATCTAGGGACCAAGGAAAAAAACCTCTGAGAATATTTTTTTAATGAATCACAGAATCATGCAAGTTGGAAAAGATCTCTGAGATCATCAAGTCCAACCTCTTTGACTGATCACCACCTTGTCAACTATATCATGGCACTTAGTGCCCCATTCAGTCATTTGCTGAACACTTCCACAGATGGTGATTTCATTGCCTCCCTCAGCAGTCCAATCCAATGTTTAAAAACAAAAGGAAAAACATGTTGCAGCTCCTATTGCTACAATTAATAATAATTTAAAATAATTACAATTATATTATAATTAACAAATAATAAATATTTAAATCTAGTCTACATAGTTAACTTTTGGCTTAATTTTATGGCCAGGAATTGAGGTGTTAAATCAGTACCAGCAGGAGGATGAAATATTACAGGAACCATGAAACTTGAAAGGGTGAGCCATACATCAAGTCTCCACAGCTGAGAGCCCCAGACCATAAACCAAGTACTTTCTAACAAGAAGGCTCTACAGTATGTCACAAAGAAAAATGATGGCAACAGCTTATCAGGTTTGCAGGTCTCCAGTGAAGGGCAAGCACGTCCTGGGAGTAAGGCCAGGCTCTCAAGTGAGCTACCAATACCAGCATAGCCAAATACAAATGTAAAACAGATTCAGCACATCAGCAAACAGCAGGATAAGCTGTTCACAGAAAATAAAAATTGTATTTTTTTACTAGAGGTAGAAATATGAAGATAAATAAAATACGTGATTTAAAAAATTCTCTCATATGCATGGGCTTATCACAGTCTTTCAGCCCTTGTGAAACCTTTCCTGGGCAATCAGAAATTGAGGGATGCAAATCATTAAAAAAGATCCCTAAAATGTAATGGTTATATATAGTATGACAAGGACAGAACACATCACACAGAATCCTTTTGGGATGGGCTACTTACCACAGAACCTCCTGTGAATAACTGTGGTCAGCCTAGACTCAGTATGGCTGAAACTTGTTACAATTGCATGGATAAATTATGTTCAATATACATTTGAGTTTTTAAAAAAATGTTGCACTGCATTTTCAGGAATGGAAAAAAAAATTAAATGAAGTCTTATTTTGTCTCTAGATAGAGTCTTTGTGGACAACAGCCAAAGACCAGATACTCAATTATTTTCTTCTATAAATATGGTGAAAGAGACATATAGGTGGGAGAAGGACTGAAACACAGTGTTCTTTGCACAGTTATGCTGAAATGAAGAACCTGAGTGCTCACTTCTCTCCTGTATGATCCCATGCTCCACTGTAAAACAACTGAACCCTCTTATCTGGTGTCTCTGGCAGGAGTAAAATAAAGGTGTACATTTCCTGTAGCACCTTTGTAGGAGAAAAGAGAAGATGTGAAAGAGAAGATCTGAAAAGATGTGGCTGTGATATCTCAGCCTACAGCACACAACATGCTGCTGGGTGATGCTGCTGATGTTCAGGAAGCAAACAGGACATGGGTTACAGTAGTAGGTACAAGCCAAAGTAGAAAAAGAATAATGAATAGTCAGAATAAGCAGTAACATCCATTTTGCTGCTGAAAGATAAACTATTGCCAATAAGGTCATTTAATTAGATGTCTTCTGTCACTGTGATAAAAGTAACTGCTTTTTCTTCAGCTCATGTTCTTTACATAACGCTATATTTAGTAGAGAGCACTAGTCACAGCGTTTTGAAGAAAAATTATGTATTTCCTATTCTCTTTGATACAAAATATTTGCCCAGTGGTTTAAAACCTCTGAAGGAAGGACACCAATCAGACAAGGAAAAAGTGGATATACATGCAAAAACTCGATGGAACTCTATGAATGAGAAATATCTACCACACAAGGAACAATTGCTCCTCTGATCCCAAAGAAGTAACCTAAGAAGAATAAGTAAACACAAATTTTGTAATGTTAACAACTCCTTCAGAATTTTAAAAGATTGCTAACTATTTTATCATTATCTAGATTTATTTAGACTTAGCAATTTATCTAATACTAGCAGCAGTCCAATCCAGTAATAACAAATGAAGGGCTTTTCCCTCCAGTTACCACTATAAGTAGGCTGCCAAGTATTTTCTGATTTCTACATGCATTTCTTAAAATGTACTTTAATTGACTGAAACTCTGAATTTAATTGTGCATTTATTATTGACCACCCAGAAATGAAAGGTTTTTTCTAAGAGGCTAGATATCAAGCATAATAAGCTTTTTTCCTTCCTGGTTGAAGATTTGATTTTACAATACAGGCATACCTTAATTCAAATATGATGTAATAACTGTAATTTCCCCCTTTTTTACTTGTATAAGAATGAAGAGCAATAATTATTAAAAATTCAAAGAGACTGCTCCTATTTGGCAAACTATATTCAACACCAAATGTATGTCAGTATTATTTATCTCAGAGGACGATCATAAAGAGATGCAAAACTTTCAGCTTTATATTAGAGAATATATATATCTTATCAGGGAATATATCAGAAAATATTAGAGGATATATAAACAGATACCAACATAAATTGTTCTTTAAATACCAAATTAGAATATAGAACACATGTCCAAAATCACTACCTTTTATTTTGCTATACATTATTTTTTAAACATTCAGCCTGTACTTTTTCTGTAGTGTGAATACATAAAAACTCGGAAAAAAATTGTGAGATACTCAACATGACTGTTAGCCAACAACTTTCAGCTGAAGGCAAACATACTGATAAACATTAAAAAAGGCTGATTTATTTGCTTTTTGCACACTTCCTTAATGAGCAAGTTTAATTTAAAAAAAGCCTTCTTTAATTGAAGTATTTTCAGTACTTCCTTTGCTATTATTTCAGTTTCTGTTCATTATTCAGTTACAGTCCTGCACTAAGAGCTCCTGCACTTTATCTCTTTAAATTTAGTACTTCACATTTTAAGTGCATTGCTCTTTGAACAATTACAATTTATATTAATAGGAGCACAGTTTCCCGTGAATATTTAGCTATTTTATAAATCTGTAGATTACATGTACCTCTTCTACCAAGCAACAATGGCTGAAGGAAAGAGTCTGATCAGTCCAAGATTTCTCTTCCTGAAGAAAAGACAAATATGATTCGTGTCATATCTGGAGCTAAGTTACTTTTTAAAGCTGGAATAACTTAAAATAAGACCTTCTTGATCACATTTTTAAGTTTGTTGCCTTGCACATGTAGAAGCATTCAGCTATACTTTAGAATCTACAACCACATATTATCACATATAGGAAAAGAAAAAATATGATGAACAGGAAAACAGGGAAATGAGAGACTCCACTTATTAGTGTTTCCAGGAAAGTCAGTTCCACAGTTTCAAAGTACAATTACCAGACTTACCAAACCCCAGAAATGCAGCAGCATTATTGCAATTCCTTAGAAACTTAAGTCAGGCCACAACACAGATAACACAGCGTGCTTAAAATTCACAGCTTAGAGTCCTCCTAACTGTAGGATCCAATTACCATTCTGTTAAAAAAAAGAAAAAGGAATGAGGAGCAGGGCTTGCAGTATTCTGTTAAACCACAGCCAGGATAACAGAAGGAAATGAGAAAACAAGCGCCTCCTATACAGCAACCCATTGTCTGTGTTTCTCCATTAAACACAAAAGATGCAAATCAACACAGGGCAGAAAAGTGATCCTACCCAGCAAGAGACAGGGCTACCGAAAACAAAGATGATCCTGCCCTGTTCCTGTTAAAAGTCACACCACAATGAAGCAAAGAATTCTGCTGTCTGTAGGAACAAAAATGATGTGCAAGAATTATCCTTATATCAATAATCTAACAGAGAGATTGTTAAATAAAAGGTTTTTCCACCTCTCCCATCTTTCATGTTAAAAGCAAGCAACTACAACAAACTAAGAATTTCAGAATGTGCCTGGTGTGGGCTGCGTATACGGACAGAACAGCATCCTTCAACTTTTCAGCCAAGGACTGCAAATGGCTGAATGTGAACTAAGTGCCTGAACTGCTCTAGCTGCTGCACACTGGCTGTGCACAAAAGTAAAATCCAAGACACTCTAAAGATATAGATTACAATCAAGGAAGAGCCTGGTGATTTTAGGTACTCCTGCGTTAGGCAGCAGCTGCATGAGCTGTAATCTCATTTTTTGACTTAGGAACCTGCATTCTCCATAAACCTTGCCTTAGGTATTTAAGTCCCTTATTGGATCAAGCTGATAAACTCTCTCTCTGTCTTTACCTAAGCATTTTAGATCCTATTATGTTTTGCCTCCCCTTTTATTTTTAATGAGATCTTTATCTTTCTAACATGTAGATAACTATTTATCCAATGTTTGGTCATTTTGTCTCATACTAGTGCATACATAATTACCGTGTAATTAAATAACACACTATTGGGCTGGTTTCTTTCAAAAGTACTGAGAATTGATAGCTCCAATTTTCTCAAAGGCAATTAAGATCCCTTGGAAAATTCACACTGCAGTGTTGCACAGTAGTGCTAGAGATAGTGGCAGCAGTCTAGCTTTGTTCAGCTCAAATTAACTTTTGAGACCAAGCTGCAAATGCAGCTTTGTGGCCACTCATAACTAAAAATTATTCAAAGCCAACTTCTGCCTACCATGGTGTTGCACAAACAAGGGTTAGTGTTTGTTTAACTGCAGTGATGCTGAGCATTTTTCCCTTAAAAAATCTCTCTGCTGGAACTATCTCACTAAAGCCCCAAAAGTCTACTAAGCAACACAGAACAAACTGAAACAAAACAAAACCAAGTTGGTTTTGAGCATTATTTCTTAGCCAGGGCTGAAGTGACTCAAACATCAAGCATCAATTTTAATGACTTTTAACTACTTTAGGAAAAAATAAATACTGTAAAGCTGAGGCAAAATATTTTTATTCATGGATGAAAAAGTAAAAAAGTTTTTCTAAACAGATCTGCTTTTAGAAGTTGGAAATTACAGTAGATTCTCAAGAAAAACTTGATTTTCTCTTATATGTATATATCATTACTAATTTTGCATATCATGTTTTTCTGTGAGGAGGCTTGGAAGCCAGAACTGCAAGGTCCTGGTTGCTGATTCAGTAGGAATTTGGAATTTTTTAACTGCAGCTACAGACACATGGCAGAAGGCTATTGCTATGGAGCCAGGAGCTGACCTTTGACAAGAAATGGATTTCCCAAAATCAGTTTCCTCTGTTCCACAACAGAGATTTTACCAGATCAGAGGCATGTGGGGACTAGTCCCATGGTAGAGCTATTCTGGAAATATAGAGAAACCACCAGTGCTGTCTTCATGCATATTTGGAAAATGTTTCTCATAAAAACTTACCCATGTTTTGTCAAATTATCTGAATAAATACTCTTCTACAAAGCATTGCTTTCCTGATGGATGGGTAATTTTTCTTTTTCTTTTAATTTGAGAAAATGTCTCACTGGAAAATTTCAACTAACAGCAATAGAAATGGCAAATTCATTTCACATATGCTACCTTGGTCACCAACTGGCATGGTAAATAAGTAACAATTTATAACGTGAAGCACTCTGAAACTGTTCCCCAGTAGTTAACACATGGAAGGCATGACTATGCATGAACTGTTTGCAGGTCGTTATGCTGCACACTTTCCTTCTGAAACAATTACAAAAAATATTATTAGAGAGATGTCAAATGTCTCAGAGAAGTATTTGGCATGGCCATTTTCACAGGGCTGTTTATACTGGAGTTTTGCCAGTTTCTTGTGTATGGATTTTTAAAAAATAATAAAATGGTATTCAACAAAAATTTTATCAGTAGTAATAAGCTTATTTCCCATAAGAGGATTCAACTTCAGCTCAACTGGTCTTTTCCCACTTAGAGCAATCACCAAAAGTATAAAAGCATGGCCTGTTCTGTCCTTCACTGGATCCACCTGAAGTGGAACATGCCCAATTCAGCTAAAGCAGTGAGACTGAGAACAGCCATTTAGGAGTGAAAAGCAAAAGGCAATGGTTTAAATAGTCACAATCTCTGGGAAGTTCCCCAGTGCCATGCGTGGTTTGCAGAGGCAGGGCAGCAGCCACGAGCACTTCCTCTCTGGAGTGCTACTAGAGAAAGCTCAAGGCGGCTAAACTTGGATTTTGCTGCTTTCTCTCCCCACCCAATTTTGGCAACCATGGAAGTAGTGGCTAACATCCCTCTCTATGGCTCCACGAGGTGGGTATGGATATTTTGCTGCACTGACAGCAGCTACTTTCTCTGTCAGTCCTGCCAGTGTGCTGGGTATCCTAACCTGAGCAGAAGGTTAGGATGCCTTGTTCCTGCTGTCTTTCAAAGGAAGAGGTTGTTCCCTCTCCTTCCCTCACACTTCTCCAAAGTCTTCTTCCCTAAGTGACTTTGTATTTTTTCCAAGGACCTGGGGGATATTTCAATTGTGGTCCTTTTGAGTTTGCAACTGTTCCTTCATTGCCCTGCTGAGATGAGAGACACTGAAACATTCACTGTGTAACAATTACTGAGGCTAAAGGGGTGGACTCGATAGTTGAAAAGTTTAGATAGCAATTTGTCAATTATTTTTCTGTTTACTAACTTGTTTCCTACCGATTAACTGTTTTCTGTTCTTCAGACTGAAGCCAGTCCCTTGCTATAACAGCTTAGCATGCCAGGTAATCCCTGTCCTGGCATTAACAAGCACTGTTTGACAGCGTGTAAATCCTCCCACTGTTTCTCAGAAACCATCCCATAATGTCACTTCAGATTCTAAGAAGTATTCTCCTAACCTGAATTTTTTTTAGTAATTTACTTCATAATTTTTCTTATGTGTCACTTGCTATCTGTTCTCATAAATCACTTACATAGGGCAATCATGCCCCCTCTCCATCCTCATTTTGGCAAGACAGTGGGGGAAGCAAGCATTTCTCCAATTATTGTTGTATGGTAAATCTGTTCCAAATTATCCTTTTCTTCTTTCAGCTAGTTATACTTCCTCTTTTTTTACAAATAACCTGACCAGAACTATCTATTGCGTGACTCTGTTCACCAGAGTCACGTATAGCACAATGAGTAATTCCTTATCTCAACAGGAAAAAAAAAAGTCTAGGTTTATATCAGGGGTTTTTTTTAATAACTTCCTGTTCTTTCTCATCTTCTATCACTTCCCATTAATAAATTCTCAGGATCTAGCAATATTTTTTCTTAATAGATGTACATGGTTTGACACTTGCATGACTACAATTCTTCCATTTCTATTATCCCAGCAGTCACGCAGGTCGGTTTCTTTGTGTCTGACATTTTTCTCCTCAGTTTATTGACATCACTTTCTTACTTGCTGCCAAACCAAAAGATCAATTTCCTGTCTTTTTGTGCCAGGGTGACTGATGAAAATATCAACTAAAATTAGTACTAAAACTGATCCTCAGAAAATGCATATGAAGCATGTTCCAGACAGGAAGCTCTTCCTATCTCATGATCCATTTCCATAGGCTTTAAACAGGATCTTTCGGACCCGACAACTATTTAGCAATTCCACCTTACTCTGTTTTAGTCAAAATTCTCCATGTGGCTCATTATATCATCTGCTTTACTCGAGTCCTAAGAGATGAGAGCCTGAGCACTGACTGTCTGCAGAATATAATTTCCATTACAAGAACAAAAGCAGACTTAGTTAGGTGGACTTTAGTCTATGTTAAGTAAATTCAAGGGTTATGTGTTATGGTATTTATGTTAGTTTCATGTCTCTCATTAGTTTGTCACTCAAAAATGTGTTCTATATCCCCAATGTACTGTTGAGGTAGCTTAATTGTCTATGCTTGGTGAATGCCTTTTTCTTCATTCTTGTAAGCAGTACAGTGCTTGCTGATCTTCAGCCAGTGTCCCAGATTTTCTTCCCAGATCATCTGACGGTCATGGCTGTCAGTTCTGTCACATTTGGAAACTTAGCTCAGCCTCCCCTAGATGAGACTTTATCTCTTTAGATAAAATCTGCTCTAAATTTTCATTCCTTTTATACACTCTACCTTTAACCCCTGAGGTCAACCTTTCTCATTTGTATTTTTAAGACAAGTATTGCTGCCATCATCATCATCATCATGAAAGTGAAAGAAATCTCACACAGACAAATCTCAGAAGTGTCATTGGACCTACTGAAAACAAGAAGTCTCTGGTTTAGACATAAAACAGTTGTTTTTGGAGGTGAGAAGAGACTTGTCAGCACCACAGACAAACTAGCATTCTGGTAACTGGGAAAGAGGAAGGGGGACCAGCATCTCCTGGTTTCTGGGTGTCACTGCCCCATATGCAAAATCACCCAGCAGGAGCGAGCTCCTCAGGGCACTCTTGACAAAGTGGGCAGACACCTCCAAAACTGTAATTGAACCAAAAATGAGGACATAAAACCAGAGAATCATTTAGGGTGGAAAAGAGTTTTGAGATCAAGTCCAGCTGTTAACCCAGCACTGCTAAGGCTACCATTAAACCACATTCCTAACTGGCACATCTACACGTGGTTTAGACCCCTCCATAGATGGTGAGTCCACCACTGCTCGGAGCAGCCTGTTCCAATGCTTGACCACACTTTCAGTAAGGAAAGCTTTCCCTACAGCCAATTTATACCTCCCTTTGGGCAACTTGAGGCCATTTTCTCATTCTATTGCTTGTTTCTTGGAGAAAAGACCGATCCCTACCCCCAGAGCACTGATCAAAACATGAAACCAAACTTGTCCCAGTACTGAGCCCTGGGAAGCCCCACTAGGGACTGGCTGCCAAGTGGATGTGACTCTGTTCACCTGCACTCTCTGGGCCTGGTCATGCAGAAAGCTTTTCAGCCAGGAACACAGTGCACCTGTCCAAGCCACGAGCAGGCAGTTTCTCCAGGAGAAGCCCGTGGGAAACAGTGTCAAAGGCTTAACTAAAGTCTAGGCAGACCACATCCACAGTCCTTTCCTTATCCACTGGCAATTGCCATACTATATGGCTACGAAGCAGAATTCAGATTTTATGCTGAACTGAAGGGAAATCCCAATGAGCATTTGACTGTTAATTAGCAGTTTATTTAGACAGCTAAAACCTGGTTTTGTGCAGCTGAAGTCACTGCATTTAACACATTTCATAAAAATGCTAGAATTCTTGCCTTTGCCAAAAGAAAGAATCTAAAATAAATCTTGTTCATTTAAAATTCTTTTCTTTTTTGGAAAGACTAGTCTCTGGGATGAACTCTAGTACCCTCAGCTACTCCTTGTAGGACTTATGTTCCAGACCCTTCACCAGCTCTGTTGTCCTACTCTGGACTTATGCCAGCACCTCTATGTCCCTCTTGTAGTGAGGGGCTCAGACCTGGACACAGCACTCGAGGTGTGGCAGCAGCAGCGCAGGGGGACAATCACTGCCCTGGTCCTCCTGGCCACAGCACTGCTGACAGTGCAACCCTGTTCAGCTCACCATAACTAACTTTTGAGACCAAGCTGCAAATGCAGCTTTTTGACCACTCCTAACTAAAAAAAAAAAAAAAAAATTCAAAAGCAATTTTTGCCCACCACTGCATTCCCCAAACAAGGATTAGTGTCTGTTTTACTGCAGTGATGCTGAGGATTTTGCCATTTAAAAATCTCACTGCCAGAACTATCTCACTAGAGCCACAAAATTCTACTTAACAACAATGAATACCTACAACAAAACAAATCATAGTTAGTTCTGAACATTATTTCTTAACAAAGGCTGAAGGAACTCAAACATTTTCAGCTAAGGTCTTCAAAAGCCATTCAAGAATTTTAAATATGGCTTCATATCTCCTTTTTTTGTTGGGTTTTTTTTCCCCTAGAAGAAATGATATTTAAGTGTGTCTTGGTAGAACAAATACTTTTCAGAAATATTATGATTTTCTTAAGTATGACTCTTATTTGCCCAATCTAATCTTTCTCCAATTATTTCTTTTGCCTTTGATACACATATCTTTGCAAAAAGTTACAATAGCTGGGTAACTAGCATCTACCTTGAAAGAAAAAGAGGAGAAACAGCCAGAAAGCCATTATTTCTCTTAGAATACAACTACATCCTTTGGGTTAACTACTTTTTTGAGGGGTATTTGCCTAGGTCCTGTAAAAATGGGGCTTGGCTCCAGATTTCCTGCACATAATTTTTAGGTCCGCTGCCTGTTCCCTAATCTGGGTTGGTCTTGCTTTACTTTGTTTATACTGCTGTTGATTTCTGAAGACCTTGAATCAGAATCATTGTGCTTAATTTACCTAAAGTAGGGTCAAATACAACTTAAACCACTGTTTTATTGTCATCTCATGTCTAATTGGGTTGCACACACTACTCATACAAGGAATTGCTTGGAAAAACATCCAACCAATACCTTAAAAAGCATAAGAAAGGAATTTCTTCTACCTCACTGTACTGAAGGCATAGTGCTTTGCAGGTACCTTCTGAATGAGAACCACCAACTTCCATAACCAGCAGTACAATAGTGCTCTACAGCAGGAAGGGAAAGGACAGTCCCTGAAGTCTTTCTTAGAATGGCCCACATGAACTGTGCAATGGAAAGGCTTTGTTGTTTTAAAATATCATCTATCTGACCCTACAAGCAGGGGGCGGGGAAGGATATTTGAATGTGCTATTTTAATGGAGTGGTGGTGGAGCTGTGTGTTATCTAATCTTGAAAATGTCTTTTCTTCCTCTCTTACATAACTATCACATCCTGATGGTAACACAGTGAAAAACTTGAAATTTGAGGGGTTTTTCTTGCTTAGTTAAATATGCCAAAGGTGGAATAATACACCAAAACCAAAGCTCAAAGAATCAACTGTAGTTCAAAGATATAAGATTGTCAACATTGGGCAATATCACACTCTACCTGGGCCCAGTATCATTTCCAGCAGGGATAAAAAGCAATGTCTAGAGAATAAGGAGGAGGTGAATATATATTCTAGCTTTCTTGTAAATAATCTCCCAGACACCAGACATTTCTACAACGGGTGAGAGCAATAAAAAATGTCAGGCTCCCAACCCATCTATTCATCCATCCTACTTCAAATCCCTTGTTTCACTCTTTCAGTTTTGAAGAGAAAGATGATAGGAAAAACCTCAATTCTTCTGCTCCAAGGCGCTTATGCTGGTAAAGACATGAGTATTTTGTGCCTTTACACTAGAAATTATGTAAAATAGCTGATTGCATTGATTGCATTCATTATTGCTTGAATCACTAATGTATGAACTTTTATAGGAATCATTGGAAGTGGCAGTGGTGGAAACATGTTTTCATTTACGCTGTTTTAAATTGTTCCATCAGAGGACAGCCTTATTATCCTAATTCCAATCCCACAAGCCCTTGGGGTTTGTCCTGTTTTATTTTTTTTTTTGTATTTCCATGAGTAAAGTAATCTGAAATGCAAAATAAACTACTGTTTAACAGTACTTCTTTCAGAGTTTTACTTTTGTCCAAATTGGCCAAGTCAAATACTTTGTGAGGGTCAACTCACGCTTGATACGTCCACACCAGAATCCATAATCCATTAAAACCATTCATAATAATGCAAAGCAATTCACAACTTCCCACCACAACTCAAGTTCACACTGCAGCTATCTATTTTACTTTGATCCTTAGACTGTAATTTCCTAACTCACTCAATTTTTTAATTAATTACTGTAAGAGACCCTCTTTCCTATCCATGTTTAAAATACACCCATGGTCCCCTCATACTTCAATTACTATAACATCTTTTTTCTTTGACTTTAGGAACTTTAGCTTAGAATAGTTGAGGTCAGACAAAACACCTGGATGGAAATGCAGATGTGTCTGGTTTGCCATCTTTGCCTACAGCTCTCTTAACAACCTTCAGCATCATCTTCCAGCCTTCCATACACGGAATACGGCTGAAGATAAATATAGTTTGCTCCCGTTCTAAGGCCATATACTAATTTTCCTGATGTGAAAGCTTTGCTTGGAAGGTTTTAAAGTACTGCTATATTTATCTGAAACGTCTGGATTTATGACAGCCATCTAACATTAAAAAAAAAAAGGCACTGTAATAATTACAAATACATAACACTTATGCAAAAGGCTTCAAGCTTTCATTGGAGGCTGGCATACACCTGAGAAGCCTGAGCATTTCCCCACTGTGACTACTTTAGGCGAAGCAGCTCAGGTGTTTCCCGCAGAGCCGCGGCTGTGGCACACCGCGGGGAGCGCGGCTCGCTGCCCGCCGGGCTGGGACGGCGCGTCCGGCCCGTCCTGCGAGCGCTGGCAACGCTCGGCGACAGAGGGGGGCAAACAAACCCCTAGGACAAAGAGCTTTTCCTTAACCTTGTAACTTTTATCTTATCGTGTCCTCCATTAAAAGACTAACAAAGAAGGGAGAGGGGCCAGCCCGAGCGGCACAAGACGAGTGCGAGTGGCAGCTGCGGAGACGGCGGCGGGCACCTGCCGGTGACGCCTCCGGGACCGCGGCAGCTACAGACCCCCGCTCCCCGCTGCAAACCCTCTCCCCGCCCCGGCGGCTCTGTCCCTCTATCCCTGCCTCCCCCACAGCCCTGCTAACGCCCCACCCTCACCACGGCAGCCGCTCCTAGGAGTCAACCCGTAGGGCTGTCCCTCTTGCCCTGCCAGCCACCCGCGGCCCGGCCGGGGCGCTCCCCCTCCCCGGTGCCGGGCGGGCCGCGGGGGTTCCGGGGCGCCACCGCCCCTGGGCTCGGGCGTTCCCGGACGGGCCCGCCCCGTCCCCCCACGTGACCCCGCGCCGTTGGCGGCGCGCGCGTGGAGCGGTGTTTTGTAACCTCCCCCCGCCTCCTCCCGCCCCCCGCCCGCGCCCAGCCCGGAGCCCATCCCGGCGTCCGGAGCGGGAGCGCCACACCCCCTTCACCGCAGCCGCGCAGCCGATGGCAGCGTCCTCTCCTGCCGCCACCGTGGGCTCGGAGCTGCCGCCGGAGCCGGGCGGCAGCGGGGGCCCCAGCGAGGAGGCGGACGAAGAGCGGGAGCTGCTGCTGGCGCGGCTGGTGCCCGCGAGCCGCCTGAAGGAAGCGGTGGGCGCGTCCCTGGCGTCGCTGTGCCTCGGCCCCTTCGGTGGAGCCCAGCGCCTCGGGACCCTCGTGGACTGCCTGGTGCTGAACTACCGCCTGCGGCAGGGGCCGGGCCGGGGCCGGGAGCGCGGGGCCGAGGGGCCGCTGCGCTGTTGCGGCTGCGGGAGGTTCCTGGGCGAGCCGGTGACCGTCCCGTGCGGGCACACCTATTGCCGCCGCTGCCTCCGCAGGGAGCTGCGGGCCCGCTGCCGTCGCTGCCGGGACTGGCTGCTGCCGGCGGGGGGCACCAGCACGGCCGCGGCCCCGCTGCGCACCAGCGTCGTCCTCAACCGGCTGGCGGAGAAGTGGTTCCCGGGCGAGTGCGAGAGGGCGAGGGCCGGGAGTCGGCTGGAGGAGCTGCTGACCCAGGGCCGCTTCCGAGAGGCGCTGGGCGCCGTCAACCAGGCTCTGCGAGCAGGTAAGGCTGTGGGGAGCGCTCCCTTCCTCCGCCCGTGCCGCCCGCCAGAGCCGCGCGGGCTCCGCCGCTGCCGCCCGTGTCCCGGCGGGACCGGGACGGGCTGGCAGCCCGGGGCGGCAGGCTCGTAGGGCTGGGGGTGCGGGGGAGTCGGTGGATGTGCCCTTATCCTCGAGTGCGGGACCGTCAGCGACCGACACGGGCCGGTGAAGAGCGTCCGAAGTTTTCTCGAGTTTGAAGGGATTGGAGGAAGCGCTCCACTGGGAGAGCGGAGTGGAGGGGACGTGCAGCTGCCCGGCGCTTGGTAGAGTGCCCAGGCTGGTAGTGGGGTACACCTGCTTCTGCTTACTCCGGAGGCGTGGGGGAGCGTCCCGCACGGGCTCCCTCGTGTCTCCCCCCGCACGCTC